CCATACAGGCCCCCATCCCTTCTATAAGAGACCCCTCTCTGCCTTGAGGGACTCTCTCTGTCATGGGGGTTCCCCTCCCTGCCATGGGGGTCTCTTCCCTTGCGTGGGGGACCCATTCCTGCCATGAGGGTCCTCACCCACTTCAGGAACCCTCCCAGCCGCCGAGATCCCTCCCGGCCCCCATCTGGCACAGCCCTCCCGGAGTTTCTGCCCGGCTCCCCCCGGTCCTCCCGGGACTCACCCATTTTCTTCAGGGCTCTCCCGGACCGCCGGGAGCCACCGGCACCGTCCGACGGGGCGCGGGGCTGCTCGGCGGCGGGACGCGCCTTCCTGCCGCAGATCATGGTGCAGGACCCCCGGGACGGCCGGTACTCCCGGTGTCCCCGGTGCCCTCGGTGCTCCCGGTAGCCCCGGTGTTCCCGGTACCTCGCTACTCCCGGTGCCACCGACGCCCCGGTGCCTGCAGTAGTTCCGGTTGTCCCGGTGCTCCCGGTGCTCCCGGCCGGTGCAGCCGGGCTGGGCGGTGGCGGAGGTCGGCGCTGGGGCTGGACTGGGGCTGGGCGGCCCCGCCGGGACCGGGGCCGGCCGCGGGGAGGGACCGGGAGGAGCCACATCGCGGCCCGGGCCGCGTTAACCGTTTGTGCCGGTGGGGGACGGGGCCGCTCCGGGACGGGGCTGTACCCGGGGCTCGTTCCGCACCGGGAACGGGCCAGAGCAGCACCGGGTATTCGTTCTGCACAGCGGGTCCCGCTCTGCCCGAGGGGCCGGGCCGAGACAGACGGGGACTCCCCATTGCCCGCCCCGGGGACCAGCCAAGGGACACCCCGCTCTGCCCCGGGGGCACGGCTGCCGGTGCTACCCCGGTACCGCCGGTGGGGACCAGGGGATCCCTTCCACCAGCTGGGGGACGTGGGGACACAAGGGACCCCTTCTACCGTCACACCCGGGGACAGAAGGGACCATGGGACCCCCTCTGCCCTCGCACCTGGGGACCCAGTCCTGCTGTGCCCGCTCGGTCCCCACCCCATGGGCCGGGTGGCACCAGGGCTGAGGGGTTGCAGACAGGTGCTGGGCCCCCCAGGTGACTGTCCCTGCTGGTGGGACAGCAGCAGGAGCCAGGGAGTGGCAGCAGCATGAGCTGGGCAGTGCCAGTCCCAGAGCCCCACACGTGTGTGCAGGTCCTTACACGTGTGTGTGTGTGTGTGTGTGTGTGTGTGTGTGTGCAGCCATGTGTGTGTGCAGCCACAAACACACATATCACAGAATCCCTGAGGTTGGAAAAACCCTCCAAGATCATCCAGCCCAACCTGTGACCCATCCCCACCTTGTCACCAGCCCAGAGCACTGAGTGCCACGTCCAGTCCTTCCTTGGACACCTCCAGGGATGAGGACTCCTCCATCTCCCTGGGCAGCCCCTTCCAGTGCCTGACCACCTTTTCCATGAAGAAATTCTTTCAGATGCCCAACCCGACCCTCCTCTGGCACAGCTTGAGGCTGTTCCCTCTCCTTCTGTCACCTCTCCCACAGCCACCACTTGCTGAGGGTGGGTGGGGAAGGAGGGATGGGTGGCCACAGGCTTCTTCCAAAAATCCACGGTGTCCAGGAGAGCAGGGAGGCCACCCCAGGCCTGGCCAGGCTGTGGGGACCAGGAGCTGCAGGACAGGGAGAGGAGGTGACTTTCTCTAGGGTCAGTGTGGCAGCAGCACGGTCAGACCCTGGGTGGGACAGTTGGGCAGCCAGGGGTGACAGCTGGGCAACTTAGAGCAACATCTGGGCAGCATCTGGGCACCCTGGGGCAACACTGGGGCACTCTGGGGCAACTTCTGGACCTCCTGGGTGATCTCTGGTTGTCCTGGTGAAACATCTGTACATGCAGGGCAACATCAGGGCACCCATAGCAGTGTCTGGGCACCCTGGGGGATGTTGGAACATCCTGGAGCAACATCTGGACACCTGGAGCAACACCCGGACACCCTGGGGCAACTTCTGGGCATCCTTGTTGATCTCAGGTGATCCTGGAGCAACACCTGTACATGCAGGGCAGCACCCAGGCATTTTTGGGCAATATCTGGGCATCCTGAGTGATACCTGTGTACCTCAAGCAACATTTGGACAGCCAGAGCAACATCTGGGCGTTCCTGGGGCAATGTCTGGTTACCCAAGAGCAACATTTGCACCTGCAGGGGAGCATTTGGTCAGCCTGGGCAGTGCCTCAGGGCTGCTGTTCAAGACCTGGGCAACTCACACAACATCTGGACAGCTGGGGGCACATCTGGGCAGTCCCTTGGCTGTGTTCCTGAACACCCTGGGGACACGGGGACACCACAGTCCCCCCAAAAATTCACCTCCAACCCCACAACCGGGCTCCGCTCCAAGTTCTCTTCCTCCCATGGAAATTGCATTCCCGGGAATTCAGCAACAGATGCCCTGACCCGGTGAAATGAACCGGGATAAACACCCCTCGCTGCAAAATCCACAGCACAAACAAATCCCGGTGCGATTCCCCCTCTCCCCGCCCGCAGCGTTGCTATTTTCTCCCGCCCGCCGGCGAGTTGGAAAGGATCCCGTGGAAAACAGCATTCCCGGCCGCTTATAGCACAGCACGTGTGCCGTGAATCAGCGCTCGGGATTCGGGGCTGGATTTGCCGGGAGCGGGAGCCAGCGAGGCCTTGTGGCCGTTCCGAGCAGGAATCCTGAGTCAGAGCTCGGAAATGGCCGGGGCTTTAAAAGGCTTTGCTGATTTTATTTGTTGTGTTTCTTATTTATTTCATTTTATTTATTTATTTATTTACCTTCAATTTTTAGAAAGGAAATGTTTCTCCAGGGGTTGGGGGATGGGATTTAGGGGAGTTTGGGGGGGTGGGGCGTTGGCCCTACTTGGATTTGGGATTTGGAGGTGGGATTAAGGTTGAAAAACTGGCATGTGAGGAAACGATGGGGCTGCTGAAAGCTGCTCTGCACCCCAATCCCAGAATCCAGCCCTGGGAGAACACGGGATCCAGGCAGTCCCCAGGACACCCCAGAACATCCCACATCCCCAGGGCATCTTGTACCTCCAGGGACATGTCCCCATGTCCCCATGTCCCCATGTCCCCACAGTGCCCTGCCTTCAAGGAAAGCCCTCGCAGCAGAGGGGGAAGGAGAAGAGGAGAAGGAGGAAAAGCTTCACCTCGGGGACTTGGGGACCCCAAATTCTGCCCCTTCCTCACTATCATAATTAATAAAGTTGGATAATAATTAACAGTGGATAAAAGTATATGCTGGATAAAAGTAACAGTGGATAAAGCTGGATAATAATTAACAATTGCTCTGCCTGAGCCAGATGTTCCCACTCTGCATGCAGTGGGACTGTGCCCCTGGCCAGGGCCCCTATGCCACTGTCCCAGCACTGTCCCACTGTCCCAGTTCCCCAGTGCACTGTCCCAGTACTTCATCCCAGTTTCCCAGTGCAGTGTCCCAGGCCCCTGGTCCATCCCCCTGGGGCCCTTGGTGGGTGGGCCCAGTGCATTGTCCCCATGCCTGGTATCATCCTGATCATGGAATCCCAGAATGGTTTGGGTGGGAAGGGACCTTAAAGATCACCCCATTCCCACCCCCTGCCATGGGCAGGGACACCTTCCACTACCCCGAGTTGCTCCAAGTCCCATCCAGCCTGGCCTTGGACATTTCCAGGGATAGGGCAGCCACAGCTTCTCTGGGCACCCTGTGCCAGTGTCCCAGACAATAGCTGTGCCCTGGCACTTCCCACCCACCCTGTCCTGCTGACAGCCCAGGTGGGTGAACATCCCAGTGTGCTGTCCCCGAGCACTGTCCCTGTGCCTGGTGCAGAGTCACGGAGCACTGGAGCACTGTCCCACTGCACTGTCCCACTGCACTCTCCTGTCCCACTATTCCTCTCTCCTGTGCTCTATCCCACTCTCCCAGTGCCCTATCCCACTCTCCCATGCCCTATCCTGCTCCCTGTCCCACTATCCCGCTCCCTGTCCCACTATCCCGCTCCCTGTCCCACTATCCTGCTCCCTGTCCCACTATCCCAGTCCCTGTCCCACTATCCCGCTCCCTGTCCCACTATCCCGCTCCCTGTCCCACTATCCCAGTCCCTGTCCCACTATCCCTGTCCCACTATCCCTGTCCCACTATCCCGCTCCCTGTCCCACTATCCCTGTCCCACTATCCCAGTCCCTGTCCCACTATCCCTGTCCCACTATCCCAGTCCCTGTCCCACTATCCCAGTCCCTGTCCCACTATCCCGCTCCCTGTCCCACTATCCCTGTCCCACTATCCCGCTCCCTGTCCCACTATCCTGCTCCCTGTCCCACTATCCCTGTCCCACTATCCCGCTCCCTGTCCCACTATCCTGTTCTCCCTGTCCCACTATCCCTGTCCCACTATCCCTGTCCCTGTCCCACTATCCTGTTCTCCCTGTCCCACTATCCTACTCCCTGTCCCACTATCCCACTCCCTGTCCCACTATCCCTGTCCCACTATCCCAGTCCCTGTCCCACTATCCCTGTCCCACTATCCCTGTCCCTGTCCCACTATCCCAGTCCCTGTCCCACTATCCCTGTCCCACTATCCCTGTCCCACTGTCCGTCCCTGTCCCACTATCCCAGTCCCTGTCCCACTATCCCTGTCCCACTATCCCTGTCCCACTATCCCTGTCCCACTGTCCGTCCCTGTCCCACTATCCCTGTCCCACTATCCCTGTCCCACTGTCCGTCCCTGTCCCTGCAGTTCCGCCCATCCCCGCAAGGCGGCGCCGGCACCGCCCCCCGCACCTGCACCCACTCGCCGGCAGGGGGCGCCCGCACCGCGCTCAGTGCCGGGAGCGGGGGGGAAGGGGCGGGGCGTCCCATCCGGGGAGCGGGACGCTGATTGGAGGGGCCGATGAAAGGCGAGCGGTGATTGGGCGTGGCGCGCTGGGGCCGATGTAAGGCGGGCGCTGATTGGCCCTGAGTGTCCCCACAGGGAGAGGGACCCGCACCGGTGCCGGTGCCGGTGCCGGGGTCGGTGCGGGGCTGGGGCCGGTCCCGGTCCCGCCATGGAGGAGCCGAGCTGCGGGGCGCAGTTCCGCGCCGCCGTTCAGGTGATCCAGGGGCTGCCGCGGAGCGGTGAGTAGGTGGGGGGGGCCGGGGCCGGGGCCGGGCGGCCGCGCCCCCCGGGCGGCCCCGCTGAGCCGTGTCCCGCAGGGGCGTACCGGCCCTCCTACGAGGAGATGCTGCGCTTCTACAGCTACTACAAGCAGGCGACGGCGGGGTGCTGCCAGGGCCCGCGGCCCGGCTTCTGGGACCCCATCGGCCGGTACAAGTGGTAAGAGCGGGGGATGTCCCGGTTGGGTCCCGGCTCGTGTCCCGGGCCGGGTCCTGCTCACCCGCCCGGCCCCGCAGGGACGCGTGGCACAGCCTGGGCAGGATGTCCAAGGAGGAGGCGATGGCCGCGTACGTGGCGGAGATGAAGAAGGTGGCCCAGAAGGTAACGGGGCGGGCGGCGGGGCCGGGCCGCGCTGCCGGGGCCGCCCGTGTCCAGCCGCGTCCCTCCGCAGGTCATCGACACCGTGCCCATGGACGAGACCACGCAGGAGATGTTCCGCTACTTCGAGCCGCTCTACGAGGTGATCCACGACATGCCCCGGCCCCCTGAGTTCTTCTTCAAGAGGAAAGGGGGTGAGTGGGAGCTGCTGCGCTCCGGCTGTGCCCAGCGCATCCCTCCCCTCTGTGCTCCCGTCCTGGCACAGCGCTGCTGCTGGTCCCTGCTTGGGGCTGCACCGGGACAAACAACACCTCTGGGCTCTGCTCTGCCCCGGGGCACATCCTGCTGCTGCTCCCTGAGGGATGGGGGACACCACATCCCACCTGACCCCCCTGCTGTGGCACAGCTGCTGCCAAGGGGCTGTTTGGGCAGCCCCAGACAAGTGTCCTGTTGCGTGACACAGATGTCTCTTCAGTCTGGGCCCTCTCTCTGCGAAACTTCGCAGTGAGAGTTTGAGATTTGGCTTCCAAGTGCCCCTTGGCCCCAATCCCTGTAAACAGTGGAGCAGGGATCAGCTCTCAGGGAGGCTGTGCTTTTCCTTGGCTCTGGCTCACCTCCAGGTCATCTGATGTAAACACCTGGATGGACCAGCCAGTTTTTGCGTGGAGTGGATGTGGAGAAACTGGGATTGAGAAATGGGATTATTTAATCCGGGCTGTGCTAGAGGAGAATCCTTCCCAGCCCTTTCCATGCCTCTGGCCGCTGCCTCGTGCTGGGAGGGTGCTGGGGGCCTGTCCCACCCCTGGCTCTGGGCTGTCCTGGGTGTATCTGACTTGTGAGGAGCACCCAGGGGAGCGAGGGGCTGATGTGGGGGCTCAGAGAGGTGTCAGCTGTGCCGTGTCACCACTGGGTCAGCTCAGCAGGCACGGGAGTTTTCAAGGCATTTTCACAGCGGGTGTGTGAACTGTCAGTGCTTTGGGAGAGCCATGACAAACAGACTCATTCCCTGCCTGTCCCCAGGCTGTCCTGTGCCTGACAGCTCCCTGCTCCCAACAGGGATGCTGAAAACACGCAGCCTGTAAGGCTTGGCTTCAGGGTGGCCTCTCCTTCCCGTGGTACCCAGGTGCTTTGTTCTCCATGTGGATGCTGAATCCCTTTAAAAGGCAAACAGGCTCAGTTTTTCACTGGACTGTAGAAGCTAGGTCTAAACTCCTGGTCATTATCCACTTGGGAGTGTCACTGACAGGTGCCACTGTCCCTTAAATCTAAACCTGGCGGTGCCCATGGAGCCAACGAGCCCAAGGTGGCTGGGACAGTGTGTAAAGCACTGAACTCCTGGAGGTGTGTTGAGTCATTTGTGTTAAAGCTTCCCCCACCCACCTTCAGACTGTGGGATTGCAGCTTTAGTTACCCTGAACCAGAGCAGAGAGGGGATTTCAGAGAGCAGAGCGTGGCAGGTGCCTCCGGCAGGTGCTTTTGGGGGACAGAGGTGAGAGTCTGGGCAGGTTTGGTTTTGTTTGGTTACAAACATCGTAAAGTGGCGCTTGGACCCCAAATCTTGGGTGGCTCCAGATCCCAACAGATCTCCAGTGAGTGGTGCTTTCACCAGAGTCTTGTGAATGTGGCTGGCTGGAGCCGGGTCTGTCCAGGTGCCGTGCTGTGGGAGGTGACAGGACCCTGCCTGACCTTACCCTGCAAGGTCACAGCCTACCCTGGGGAGACATTAGGGAATGGTGACAGTCCTGGAACGGGGCAGCCCTGGCACTAACCCCTGTGTGGGGTGGGGGCTGCCCTTGCCCCTTCAGTGGGCTCTGGGGGTCCTGTGTTCTGCCGTGATGGCAAAGGCAGGTTGGGAACAGCAGAGAAGTGCAGGCAAGGAGCAGCAGGGGAACATTGCCACACACCTGCCTGCCCAGGAGCAGGGATCAGAGTCCTGGGAACTGCTGGAAGCAGGGCTGGGATTAACCCCACAGGCCCCACGGGGCAGTGGGAAGGGCTGGGGCCCCATCAGGAAGTTCTTCTTGGGGTGTTGCTGCCCAGACAAGGCTCTTGCAGCCAGCACTTCTTGCGTGAGGCTGTTTGTTGGGGTGGGTTGTGCCATGGGCCGTTGGCCCTGCCAGGGGACAGGACAGTCACCTGGCAGTGTTTACCCAGCTGTCACCCAGCACTGATCCCTCTGCCTGCTGCCTCGGGGGGGCTCAGGGACAGGGACACCCCTGCCACCTCCGGGTGGTCTGTGTGGGGCAGACCCTGCTGGCTGGTTTAGATCATGTTGGTTCCTGGGCAGCAGTGCTGAGCCCAGCCCAGAGCCAGTGCTGCCAGGACACCACAGCACGTTAATCCTCTGCCTGTTCCCTCCGTGCAGACAGTCGGGAACAGCCAGACGGCCCCTCCCAGGATGTGCCAGGGAGCAGCCCGGCCCCGGAGTGCCCCGAGGATGCCCTGCCCGGGGAGCAGCAGGGCGGGCAGCACGTGCCAGGTTGGTCTCCCTGGTGTGTCCAGCGCCCGGCAGACACCCCGTGGAGGAGGCACTGGGGCTGGGCCTCCACCCATCTGCAGAGCTGTTGGCTTCAGGCACCTCTGCTCCAGCCCTGCCCGTGTTTCCAGGCAAACTGGGGCTCTTCTTGGGTCCCGCTCTCCATGCTGGAGGAACCCTGGGTGTGGGGATTGACTCTGCCTCGCTTGTACCTCTGCAAAGGGGTCTAAACTGCAGGAAGTAGGGGAGGGTGTTTCCCCGTGGACTGGGAAACCATCACCCTGCAAGGTCCATGATCCGTGTGAGGATGTTCTCCCTCGGCTCAAGCCAAGCCCACCCCTTCCTTGGCACTGAGATTCCTGGCTCGGCCCTGGCTTTCCTCACACAGCCCTCATGCACTCGCCCACGGCCGCCCTGTGCCCCCCTCGAGGGGCCCCTGGCTGTGCCCCGGCGTGGGCAGGAGGTGGGCAGGGTGCTCCCTCCGGGGAGGTCCCTCCCGCCGCTTCAGCCTTTCCCCCAGGAGCAAATATGGTCACGGAGCAGCGTCCCGGCTGTGCCCTCCCTGGAGCAGCGGGGCTGGCAGTGCCGGGGAGCCGGGCAGGGTCCCTGTCTGTGTACAGGGCACGCTGCTGCCCCGGGGGCTGGGGGGTTGTATGAACAGGACACTGTGGGCAGGAGAAGGGGGAATTCAGTCCTTGGAATCACAGCCGTGATCTGGGTGGTGTTAACAGAGCCAATTCCCTCCCGCTCCGCGCCTCAGCTTCCTCCTCCTGCTGCCTCCCCCGGTGCACACAGGCTCCTCCTTGTCCACCTGGGGACCTGCTGCCCCTGAGACATGGCCAGAACCCCCTGCCCTGCCCGTGGCTGAGCCAGGTGCTTCCCTTGCAGGAGGTGGGCTGGCTCCTGCCCCCGAGGGGCTTGAGGGCAGCCAGGTGACCAGTGACTCCGAGGGGGACATGTACTGCGACACCCTGGAGCAGGGGGAGCCCGAGAAGGTAACGGGGGGCTGGGGAGCACTGGAGGCTTTGCCAGCTGCCAGCCCTGCCCTGCCTGGGCTGCACAGGCACATCTGCAACTGCTCAGACACATCCCCACACTGCACAGACACATCCCCACACTGCACAGACACATCCCCACACTGCACAGACACATCCCCACACTGCACAGACACATCCACACACTGCTCAGACACATCCCCACACTGCTCAGACACATCCCCACACTGCACAGACACCTCCACGCTGCACAGACACATCCCCACACTGCACAGACACACCCTCACACTGCACAGACACCTCCACACTGCACAGACACATCCCCACACTGCTCAGACACATCCCCACACTGCTCAGACACATCCCCACACTGCACAGACACCCCCACACTGCTCAGACACATCCCCACACTGCTCAGACACCTTCACATTGCACAGACACACCCCCACACTGCACAGACACCCCCACACTGCACAGACACATCCCCACACTGCACAGACACCCCCACACTGCACAGACACATCCCCACACTGCACAGACACATCCCCACACTGCACAGACACATCCCCACACTGCTCAGACACCTCCACACTGCACAGCTCTCCTGGCTCTGCTCAGCACTGCCGTCCTGGGAGCCCAGCAAGCCTCACTGTGTTGGCACCCAGTGCACCTCTTCTTCGTGTCACTCCTGGAGCCTGTTCCCTGTTACCAACGGGAGGCTGAGGAGCCTCCCCAGCCCCCCTCATTTCTTGGTTCTGACTGTGGGGGGCACCTGAGTGAGACCCACGGCCCCACACAGGGCCAGTGCTGCCACTTTGACTGCACTCCTGCCACTCCTCCCTGCTGCTGCCACCTGGTTTGGCACTTGAGGTGTCTACTGTGGACAGGAGGGAGGAAACCCCCCCTCTTTTGCCATCTGGAGCCTGGGCACCTCACTTCCCTCAGGTTCTAGAGCTCTGTCACCTCCCAGACTGGGTGCTGACTGGTGTTACCAGTGGGATTCAGCTTCACTCAGCCACACACCCCCCCACCACGAGGCAGAGAGGGGCACCACCGCTGCCCTGGCATCACCCACCGTGCCCCCCAGCCCCAGGGAGGGCAGTGGGGTCTCAGGGCCCTTCTTCTCCCCCCTCACACAGGCTGGGGGGCCGCAGGGCCTCACCCCAAATGGCATCCAGGCCGGGGCTGAGCCCCTGGAGCCCCATGGTGCTGGGCAGGGGCTGTGGGGCGAAGGCAGAAGACCCGAGGGGAGCAGCAGCACTGACCTCGTAACCCTGGGCTCCCAGAGAGGTGGGTGCAGCCTTGGCCCCTTCCTGCTGCTCCCCCCTGCAGGCAAGGCTGGCCTGGGGGGCTCTGGGGGTGTGAGGGGGGGGCAGGGGCTGCCACCACTCACAAGGGACCAAGTTTGGCTCCAGCACCCAGGGGTGGGTCATCTGTAGCTGCAGGAAGCCCCGAGTGTCCCCTCTAAGCACCCCTTGGTCCCCAAGTGTGGTGGCTTTACCCCTGCAGGACGCAGCCCCTCCGCTGCCTGTTCCTCACAGTGGTACTAAATTGTCCAAATTTGGAGAGTGTTCTGCTGGCCTCTCCAGCAGCTGGGCAGGGATAGAGGATTCCCAGCTCCCCCTCTATCCAGCTCCTGCCAGTGGTCCTGTGGCTCCACTGGTGACTTTGGATGTGGTGGTGCCAGGGGTGAGCTCTCCCCAGGAGGGTGGGAGGTGAAAACTGGGCCCTGTGCCCCTGGAGGTCTTGGGGACACCGTGTTACTGTGGTGCCACCCACCACTGCTGCCAGTGTCTGGGGGGCACCACCTGTGCTGTGGGGAGGGGACAAGGAGCCTCCTGCCACCCTCTGTGCTGTCCCCAGATGCATTTGGAGCTTGCTGCTCCAGGGTGGCACTGCAGGGCTGGTGTCATCACCTTGCCTGGGCACAGCCACCTGTCTCCCATGTTACTGTTCCCACAAACTGGGCTGCTTGACCTTGGGAGTGAAGCTGTACCGAGGCTGATCTGGCCAGGCTGGGCTGTCCCTGGGTGCTGCTCTCAGGGGGTGGCAGCGAGTCCCTGCCTGTGCCCCGCTCACAGCACAGACTGCCCAGGGCCTTCCAGGCTGGTTTGGGGCCCGAGGGTGGGCGGGGAGGCAGCTTTACCAGCGAGGGGTCCTGCCTGGTGCTGGGTGTCCTGCCTGTGCCGGGTGACACAAGGTGACCCATGTGCACCACTGCACCTGCCACATCAGTGGGCTGGAGGTCACCCACTGCCACCACCACTGCTGGGGGGGGCCATGGTGGCCCGCGTCCCTGGGGACAGCCCCAGTGCCACAGGACTGTGGGGCTGCTGGGCTGGGCTGGGCTGGGGGCAGCCGTGGTGTGGGCAGCGTGTGGCACTCCATGGGAGCCATTACCTGCTGCCAGTGCAGGGTGGGCTGTGCCAGCTCCGGGTCTCCTTGGGGGGCTCGAGGCAGTGCCCAGCCTGCCCTGCCACCCGTGTGCCCGTCTCTGTGCCCCCAGATCCCCGGGCCACCGCGGGGGAGCAGGACCTCGGGAACACCGCCGAGCTCAGCCCGGAGCTGGAGGCCCACGTGGCCAGCGCGGTGCAGGCCCTGCAGGAGGAGCTGCGGCGGGTGCGGGAGCGGCTGAGCCGGCTGGAGACGCTCACCTGGGCACAGGTACCCGCCGCGGGGCCGGGACACCACCCCGGGCCGGCAGGGCTCGGCTGGCCCGGGTGGCCCAGAGGGCAGGGACACCCCGGGGTGTGGTGGCACCTCCCGGCAGGGCCGAGGCTGATCTACCCCACAGTGCAGGCAGGGAACTGCTGCTGCCTCATTCCCACCGGCCCTCCCTCCATTCCTGCTGCTCCCCATCATTCCCACCGCTTCCCATCATTCCCACTTCCCTCATCATTCCCATTTCCCCCGTCATTCTTATTGCCCCTGTTATTCCCACTGGCTCCCCATTTCTGTAGCCCTCATCGTTCCCATTGCTCCCCTCATTCCCATTGTCCCTGGGGTCCTGGCCCAGCTGTGCCATTGGATCCCTCACAGGAGCCCCACATGGGCTCCCTTCAGCCCCTTCCCTCCCTGTCCCGGGGTGCAGGCACTGGAAGGGGGGTGCCAGCCCCACCCGCACCCCAAACCCTGTCCTGTCTTGCAGGGGGACACGGCTGGGACAGACCCCGACCCGGCACTTGCTCCGCAGGTGAGTTGGGGGTGAGGCAGCACTGTGGGGTGGCCCTGCTGTCTCACCACCCACCCCATGGCCCCCAGGGGCCTGGAGACACAGCGGGGGGCAGGTGACATCCCTAGGGACATGTCCCCAGCCTCCAGACACCAGGGACGGTGCTGATGATCTCCAGAGGAGGGATGTGAAGGACCACCAAGCAGTGGAGGGCTGGGGCAGGGGGGTTTGGTGACCTCTGTCCCCCCCCCCGCTCCACTTTCTGTCCCTCACCAGGTGACGTCCCCGTGGCCCCTGACGGTGTCCCCCCGCACGCTGCTCTTCCTCGCCACCTGGCCCTTCCTCACCCAGTGGCTGCTGCGCCGCTGGCAGGGCAGGAACAGGTGACCAAGAGGTGCCCGCCACGGCCCCGCTGCCACCCCATCCTACCCCATCCATCCCGCTTGGCACCAGCCGGGGGAGCTCCGCGGACCCATCGCATCACCAGCCACGGGGGCTCCGCGGGCGGGACCCACCCCGGGCGGGGGAGCCCCCGAGAGCCACCAGCGCCACCACTGTCACTCAGGGCCAGCCCCGAGGGGAGCGGGGCCGGGATCGCTTGGGATCCACCCGGGCTCTGGGGGATCCCATCCACGCACAGCCGGACCAGCCGCCCGGACACGGCGGGGCGCTGGGGCACCATCCGAGCCTGCCTCGATTAAAGTTGCCTTTTCGGTGCAGCCCCGCTGCCTGTGCCCTGTGGGGGGAGGGGATGGGGCCCCGCGGCCTGGCCTGGCCACACACTGTCCCCAAATGGTCACACACTGTCCCCAAATGGTCACCCTCTCTAGCCGGGCCACCTGCTCTGGCCAGGCCACCCCACTGTCCCCAGCTGGCCACCCACCGTCCCCTCCATATCAGAGGCCCCGGTGGCAGCTGCCCTGGTCTGTCCCCAGTCCCCAACCTCCCCCCCAGGCCGGGTCCCATCCCCAGGCGAGGGGGGTGGCGGTGCCCCCGCGGGGGCCCTCCGGTGCCACCAGGCCCCTGCCAGCGCCACCCCTGGGCCGGGGGGCTGGGCAGGGCAGGTGACACAGCGGGTGACACAGACACCACCACCGTGTGTCCCACAGCGGGCCCTCCTGTCCCCCTGTTCTCCCCCGTCCCCCCAAGGCCGTGGGGCCCCCCGAGCCCAGCCCCGCCCCCGGACGTGGGGCCCAAGGGGGACATCGCCAGTGGGGGTGGCAGGACCGGGACTGGGGCCAGGGCCAGGACCGGGCCAGGGACCGGGACGAGGCCCCGCTCCGCCTTATTTCCCCCCCCCCCCCCCCCCCCCCCCAGGCTTTGGGAGCGCAGCCCCGCGCCGGCCCTGGGAAAAAAAAAAAAAAGGGGACGCGGCGCCTTTAAGAAGGGACTTCTTTCTGCTGAGGTTTGTTTACATCTCCCTCCGCCGGCTGCAGCGATCGCCGCACCCATCGCAGCCCCCGGATCCTTCCGCCCGCCCCCTCCCCCTCCCAGCCCGGCACCCCCCGGGCCCACCGGGCACCCCCCGCACCTCCCCGGAACCCCCCGGGCCCAGGGGGGATGTGCCGGGGCGGACGGTCCCGGAGCCGCGGCACCGCCCGCGGGCCCCTCCGCCCGTTGCGGGGACTCCTTTCGGGACGGTCCCACTGCCGGGCCGGCGGGGGTGGGGGGGCGCGCGCCTGAAGGTCGCGGGGCCGCGCACGGGGAAGCGCCCCCCTCCCCGCGCTCGTGGTACGGCCCGGTCCCACCTCCCCGCTCGCGATTGGCTGCGCCGCGCGTGAGTGACGCCCGCCTGCGCCAATCCCCGGCCAATCCCGAGAGGGGGGCGTGCCCCGTCGCGCGGCCCCGCCCCCAGGCCGCCCTCCGATTGGCCACGAGGCGGCCGCGGCTCCCGGTGCTCGGCAGGGGCGGGGCCCGGCGCGCGGCCGGGGGTAGGGCCCCGGGAGCGGCGCCTGCGCGGGGCGGAGCCCGGCGCGCGCGGGTACTTAAGGCGCGGCGGCGGCCCGGGAGCGGCAGTTCGGGAGCGGGCGGCGGCGGGCGCGGGTCGGGGTAGTGGGGAGGGAGCGGCGGCAGCGGGGGCGCGGCGGGAGCGTGCGGTGCGCGCGGGGGGGGGGGCGGGCCCGGCGGCGTTAACCACCCCCTACCCCGCCGGGCCATGGCCGGGGCGGCCTGAGCGGGGCCGGGCCCCTATGAGGTGCCGGTAGCGCCCCGTTCAGCCCGGAGCGAGCGCAGCCGAGCACAAGCCGCGATGGCCGACGCGGCGCCCGCTGAGGAAGCGGGGCCGGAGCCCCAGTGCGAACCGGAGCCTCGCTCCGAGGCTCAGCCGGAGCCGCCGGCGCAGCCCGAGCCCGAGGCGCAGCCCGCGGAGGCGCCGGCGGAGGACGGCGATGCGGGGCGGCTGCCGCCCCCCGGGGCGGAGGCGGCGGCGGGCGGCGCCGAGGGGCGGCCGGCGGCGGCTGCGGGCGGAGCGGCGCGTCCCGGCCTCGGCCCGCGGTACCGGGCCGTGGGGCGCGCCGAGGAGTGGCCCGGCAAGAAGAAGCACCGTCGGCGGCCGTCGAAGAAGAAGCGGCGCTGGAAGCCGTACTCGAAGCTGAGCTGGGAGGAGAAGCAGCAGTTCGACGAGCGGCAGAGCCTCCGCGCCTCCCGGCTGCGGGCAGAGATGTTCGCCAAGGGGCAGCCCGTGGCCCCCTACAACACCACGCAGTTCCTCATGGAGGACCACGACCAGGAGGAGCCTGACCTGAAGACCGGGCTGTACCCGCGGCGAGCGGCCGCCAAGTCGGACGACACGAGCGAGGAGGATTTCCTGGAGGAGGCGGCGGACGAGGATGGGGGCAGCGACGGGATGGGGGGAGACGGCAGCGAGTTTCTGCAGAGGGACTTCTCGGAGACGTACGAGCGGTACCATGTGGAGAGTCTGCAGAACATGAGCAAGCAGGAGCTGGTGAAGGAGTACCTGGAGCTGGAGAAGTGCCTGTCGCGCATGGAGGAGGAGAACAACCGGCTGAGGATGGAGAGCAAAAAAGCCGGAGGGGAGGCGGCGGACCCGGCGCGGGTGCAGGCGCTGGAGCGGGAGGTGGACAGGCTGCGAGCCGAGAACCTGCGGCTGCTGCGGGAGCAGGAGCTGCCCCGGCAGGAGAAGGGCCCCTGCAAGCCGGGGGAGTGACACTGGGCACGGGGGGCGCGGGGGGGTTTTTACAGTCCCGGGTGGAACACACACGGTCCTTGTACAGAGTCGCCGCGGACCCTTTTTATGGGGCTGAAGCGCTGGGGGGGGAGGCGAGGGCTCCCCCTTTTTTAGGTGGCTGTGACGGGGCGAGGGGGGGGTTGATGTATTGGTGATATCTGGTTTATGGGTTTATTTTATTTTTTTTTTTTTTTGTGTCTAAACCAAAAAAAATGGAAAAAAAATTCCCCAGGAAAGCTGTAAATTGGCCAAAACTGACTATAAAAAAATATAGAGGTCTAATAAATTTAATTACTTGTAACTGTAATGGTTTCAGTGTGATTTCTAGAAAATAATCAGGATGGCATTCCAGCAGGGAATACATCCTGAATTATTTTCATTATGTTATAATTGTTGTTTGATTAAAATTAGTTGTAATTCCCCACTTAACACTTTTTTGTTATTATTTCCCCCCCCTTTATTTTCAATTTGAATGCTGTTGAAATAGTTAAAAATACTTGGAAAGGGGGTGAAACGGTGTGATGGACACTCACTGAGGTAGGAGTAACCTGAGGTCTGCCTGTTTGCCTAAAGGTTCACTTAAACTTGACTCTGTTTCCTCCCAGGTCTGTAGGAATCCAGGTCATCAACTGAAATCTGGGCAAAAATTGCCTTAAAAAAAATATAAATCTAGTTAAAGCTACAAGTGAGGGAAAAGTCTTAAAGTGTTGGAGCAGCCCAAGGAAAAGTTTTGGTAGTCAGCACTTGGCCCCTGAAATGGCTGACAGGGAGAGGGGAAGGCGATGGCTCAACCTCCCTCCTGCACCTGAGGGGGGGAGGAGGAGGGAAAAGCAGGAAAAGCTCCAAGTAGTGAAGTTTTTTTTGGGGGGAAACAGGTAAATTAAGGGGTAAAAAGGTGGAGGCGAAGGCCAAGGGGACTTGGAATTGGAGTGAGGTAATGGAAGCTGTACCTGGAGAGGCAGGAGCTGGGATTGGCCTGGGCAGGAATCCTGCCCGCAGGAATGAGGGGGGGAAGGGCTTTTACACAAAAATTGAGGGCAGGGGGGTGTCCCCAGCACAGGTGGGTTGGTACAAAGTCGAGGGTTAAAGCAGCAGCGCTGAGGGGCTGGAAGGGTCAGGCAGATTTTTAACCCCAGCCTGGCCAAACCTCCCTAAAGCAGGAGAAAAACAGGCTTTTATAGAAAAATAAGGGAATTTAGTGTGAGGGGTGGAGGGGACAGGTGGGTTGGTACAAAGTCGGGGGTCAAAGGGGCAGCGCTGAGGCACCGGAAGGGTCCCACCAGGTTTAAGCTACAGTGGGGGAAAACCAGCGTTTATGGAGGCACGGAGGGGTTAAGGAGGGGACAGGAGTGTCCCCAGCGCAGGTGGGTCGGTACCAACTTCGGGGCAGCCGGGGGAGCCGGGGGAGGGGGCCCGGGTTTAACCCTCCCCTCTCTGGGGCACCGGCGGGGGAAGGAAACGGGCTCGGGAGCCACCGGCCCCTTCCCTGTGCCATGACATCACCGCAGCGCGGGGGATGATCCAGCGGCATCCCGCGGGATGGGAGAGGGGCCGAGCGCTGTCCCCTCCTCCTCCAGCCCAGGCGTTTCTGTCCCCGCCGAGCGATTCCCTCTCCGGGATTCCCGTTTTCTCTCGATGGCACCGGGCTGGGTCCCACAGGGGCCTGACTCCGTGAAATGCAGCTCCTGGTCCATGGGAACACCTTGATCCAAGGGTTTGCCTTCATCCACTTACCCCAAACCTGCTGTGTGTTCAACGCCCCCAAATCAATATTTTCTCTGCCAATGCTTTAAAAAATAGACCTTAAAAAACACCAAAAAAGGACTATAATGATCAACTCTCCAACCTGCTCTGGCTCCACTGACTTTTCCTGCTTTATTCTGCTGTTTTAATGAACCAGGTTATCCCAACCCCAAGGGCTCATTCCAGCTCCCGTGTCCAACCCCCCTGCTGACACGGACCAACAGCATTTGGGGACCTTTGGAACCTCCAAAGGGTCAGTAATGGACAGGGAGCCCATCCCTGAGTTTCTCCCTGGCCAAGAGGAGAGCTCCCCATCCCAAGCCTTCCCAGGAGCTCCAGAGATGGGCTCAGAGCCAGGCTGGAGCTGATTGGAGCCTGATGGCAGCAGGAATCAGCCTGGGACCAAAAGTCTGGAATCGTGGAATGGTTTGGGGTTGGTTTTGGTTGCTGTGAGGGTGGGGAGGCCCTGGCACAGGTTGCCCAGAGAAGCTGTGGCTGCCCCTGGATCCCTGGAAGTGTCCAAGGCCAGGTTGGACGGGGCTTGGAGCAACCTGTGCTGGTGGAAGGTGTCCCTGCCCATGGAGCTGAACAGGCTTTAAGGTCCCTTCCAACCCCAACCATTCCAGGACTCCATGGGCAGGAACCCCCTCACCACCACTCCATGGATGTGGGAGGGCAACACCAATGCTGGATTTGGGGCATCAGCCTTGGAAAAACAGGGCACTGGGAGACCCTCTGGCAAAGGGCTTTCCCAGCCACTGCCCTCCCAGGGGGTTGGTTTGCTGAGGA